ATAAATTACAATAATTAATAAAAAAAAATAGTTGACGAAATTGACGAAAAACAAATTATAAATTACAATAATTAACAAAATAAATCTCTCGACTCCAACAAATCTATCAATTAATGCCACATAAATTGGGACATGGCAAATAACATATATTATTAAAAAATTAGGTTCAAAATGTACTATAAAATACAATAATTAACAACTTAATATATTAAAGAGACATATAAAAAAGGGTTAATATTTGAAATTATGCGTGTGCCATATAAATTAGAACAAACAGAGTAATAAATATTATTTTTAAAATTATGTTAAAAAAAAGTACTGCAAATCACAATAGCTAAAAATTTGAAATATTTTTAAAATCATATAAAAATTTCAATAACTTCTCAAATTCCATAATATGATAATATATATTAGGCCCCGTGCTGGCACGGGGTCCTATATTTAGTTTTGAAAGAGAAGTAAATAAAAAAAAGGAACGGAAAAAGATGAAGGATAAAAGTAAGTAGGGGAAGAAAGGACAGAATTGTAAATTGACTGCAAAATGGGATCCATTACAGTCCACTTGTCAATTAAATAAGGCCCTCATACAAGTATGAGTTTGGTATGCCTCGCACAGAATAAATTTTTTCCAAGGGGAGCCAAAAAGGATAAATTTTGGTAGGTGTGTGACTACTTTATATTTTTATAAGGGAAAATGCATGAGTACTTCCCAATCTATGTCTGAAATCTCAGAGACATATATAACATTTACTAAGGTTCTATTATCCCCTCGAACTAATTTTATATATAATTTTCTACCCCTTTTCGGGCTACGTGGCACTCTCTTGTGGGTCCATTGTGTGTTGACAATTTTTTCAAGAATAGTGCCACGTAGGCCGAAAAAGGATAGAAAATTGTATATAAAATAAGTTTGGGGGGGTAATAGAACTTTATTAAAGATTAGGTGTGTCTCAGGGATTTTGGGCATAGGTTGGGGGTACTTATGCATTTTCCCTTTTTATAAACATACCGACACAAATTTTGGTAGGGGTGTAAGATAAGAAGCATAAATTTCTTTGTGACAACTTTACTGATTTTCTTGTTCTATGGTAGTATTTGTTTTATGCAAGTAAAATTGTTAGAATAATTAAGGGATAAAGGTTTGAAAAATATCTCAACTTTAGTCGAATTTGCTATTGCGATACTAAACTTTCATGAAGACCTATTACCTCCCTAGACTATTTAATATCGTATTTTAAACATATATATTTGCCCACGTGGACATAAAAAATAATGCAAAATTATAAATAGTAATGTGTCCACGTGGGCACATATATACCTTTAAAATACACTATTAAATAGTTCAGGGGGTAAAAAATTCGGTATTAAATAGTCTAGGGAGGTAATAGGTCCTCATGAAAGTTTAGTATCGCAACAGTAAATCCGACCAAAGTTAAGGTATTTTTCAGACGCTTATCCCAAATAATGAGTTCGATCGTAAGAACCTTAATTTTAATCTATCAAATTCTAATACGTGGATGAGCAAGGCTACTTTATTTGGAGAATTAAGGGCCTGTTTGTTTCCACTAAAAAATATATCTCAAGTGAATTGTTGGGTATGATACACCACTTAGAAAAATATTTACTGACAAAAATTAAACGCTACTTTCTACTATTATTTTTTTCAATTATTTTAAAACTATTCTCCTAAAAAATATAAAGTAGTTAAGATCTAACGAAAGATAAATATGAAAAAGAGTCAAAACATATCTTTTAAACTTTGAAAAATCCATTTATTTTGAATTTAAAAAAAT